CTTAGAGAACTAATTCTTTCTCCGAGACATGCTAGAAAGACTTCCCTCTCATGAAAAAGAAATCTAGTATGAAGCTTTGCATGTACTACACGTCACGAGTCCCGAAGGTTTTGCAAGTATGGTTAGACTGGTTTCTGTTTTCTGATGCTCATGTGAATGAACTATGAGCTCCTTTTTGCGATCGAATAATTATGCGGTGATGATAAACCTGAAATAGAAAAGAAAGCAAAACTGATATTTATTAGAGACGCAGCGAAAGCATGGTTGACTTTTGGAATGTCCTGGTAAGCTTAAAGAAATAGAGGAGTTTATTGAGAACATACATTAAGATCCAATGGAAAAATTGCACATGGAGGCTACTTGGGAGTATGAGGAGGAGGAAAAACGCAAATATCCACATTTGTTTGATGGTTGAGGTAAGTCCAAATTTCAAGGACGAAATTTCTTTTAAGAAGGGATGAAAGTAATATTCGGGTATTTAAAAAAAAGGGGCTTGAAAAGTCAAAAAGTCAAAAGCAGCTACAGTGGCTCAGCTAAGTTAAAAGGAGATCGAGAGCTCCTTGCTGAGAACAGAAACAGAAAGGGGAAGAGGAAAAAGCGGAAAGGATGAAAAGAAGAAAGGGAAAAGAGATTTTGCACCGCAAGAACCTCGCCTAGCCAATTTGACTTTGTATTTCAATACTCGGTAAGCACTCGCGCCCTTCGTTCGTCCGATCGGAGAAGTTTTCAGATTTAGGGTTTAAATTCAGAATTTTGGAAAATTCAAGTCGTGAAGCCCGATTTTTTAGTCGCTGAGCTATGTATATATATAGAATTAGTAGTTTAGGATGTCGTAGAGCTGTGGGATTTTACGGATCTCGATTTGGACTTACCGTTTGCCCAAGACGAATTTTTGAAGTTTTCCACAAGAGGTGAACAGTACACGTCCGGCAACATTCAGGCCATATTTCGTCAGTTTTCGGTTCGATTTTGGGGTGGCCAAGCTGGGGCTTTTGTAACACTCTGAACGGGCTTTCTTTTGATTATAAGTTTGCTAGGATCAGAGTTCGATGGAAAGAGTTTTAGCGCGATCGAGTTTCGTATTGCAGACGGTTTGGAAAATCACTTTGGATGAGCAATTTGTGGGCACTTTTGAGTTTTATTGTTAGCGTTTAAGTGTCATTTAGCCATTTCGTAGTTATCGTAATATTTTACTTGGTTTTGACGTCAATTCTCATTTAATTGTTAGGATTACGAGATCGTCAGTTCGAGTTAGCGTCATTGTTTGATTTTTGGGGATTCCAGGTGAGTGGTGCTATCTCCTCTTTGAGTTTGTAAACTCATATTTTGAAAGCAATATGAATCAAATATGTTATGAGTTAAATAGCATTATTATTGCATAAAAGGTCGGATCTGGCATTTACTACCCTATTGATTATTTGAAATGGCATGGTAAAGCATTTCTGGAAATGACTTATATATCGATTATCGTGAAATGAATTGTGGAAATTCTTTATGAAAAGAATTCTTTTGTTGAAGGTTATACATATTGATTTATGAAGAATTATGAAATGGTTATGGAAACATATTATGAAATGTGTCATGAAAGTTTATATATATATATATATATATATATATATATATATATATGTGTGTGTGTGTGTGTGTATTGTCTTGTGAAGCTAGGTTATGAATGATTTGAGAAATGGTTTGAGAAAATGGCGGATGGGTTATGTTGTGAAAAGTTAATTGTTTGGTTTATGAGATTGATTTTCAGATTGGATTTCTGGTATTGGAAAATGATTGGTTGATGCTCAATATTGCTGTGAGCCTGTTGAAGGGATTGGGCGTATGCATACTGGGTTTAGGATATCCTTCTGGGCCAAGTCACCGGCTTTGTAGGTGGAGACCTTGCTAGGCGAGAATCTTGGTAGCCTTGTTACAAGGCTTTGTGTCGTGATCATAGTTTGATATTGAGCAATAGATTCATTGATGGAATGGACCATCGATGTGTAATGTGATATGAGATTCATCAATGGAATAGACCATTGATGTGTGATTTGATATAAGTCAATGAAATGGACCACTGACGTGATTTTTAATAGAGATTTATCATTGGACTTGATCATTGATGTATATGATGATTTAAATGAGTATTTCTAAATTATATAAAACTTGTTGAAATGAAACAACTCTTATGTGATTCGATATGTATTTTATATTTTTAGTTTGACTTCTGGAATTCTGGTATAGCTTTATGTATACATGCATAGTGGTTATTTGATCTGCTTAGAAGAGATACGCATTACTTACTGAGCTGTGGTTGCTCACTCCTCTCTTTTCCTAATCTTTTTAGGTTCTTTAGTTAGTAGCCAATAGAGCGAGAGCGATGTCGTAGGGACTTTTGGGTGATTTGAGGCTGCGTCCTTCGGGTGGAAGGACGGCCATGTCATCTCCCATCTTGGTAGGTTTCGGGATGTGAGACACCTGTGCCTTTATTACATGTGAGATGACTGGACAATTGACATTTGGTCAAAAATAGTAGACGTAATAAGAACTGTCTTGAAACTATTTAGCATGATTGACTGAAGGAATCATGATATCATATTTATACTCCCGTGCTTATAAGAAATTGCTGTCTGTCTGTCTGTCATAGTTAGCTTTGTTCGTGAAAAAGATGAAGTCCTATCATCTGGCCTTGCTCGGATTCTCTGCTACTGTGCCAAGAGTCACTTTGTAAGTTGGAATTTGTCATCTTTTCAGCTAAGTTTTCCCTCATAGCTGATGTCATTATTCTTGAGGGTTCAAAAAACCAGTAGCTCGTCTTCTATATTAGTAGACGAAACATGAGGTGCTTATTATGGAGTTGATTGCTGATGTGGAGGCTAGAGGGTAATACAATGACTATAAAATATGATAGTAAAAAAATGGAGAATAATGCTCCTGAGTTGATTGATTGGTTCAATGAGAAGGATAGAACTGGCCAAGTGCATCGCAAATCCATCATGTGCTGCGAATGTTGCTTGTCTCCAGACGTGCAACAATCGGCCTGACGAGACTGAATGCCAGGTTTGCTCCGAACTTACCATTTCGTAAAGACATTTACGTACATGAACACTACTGTAAGAGAGAAATAATCATCAGGTTAAGAGCCTAGGTGCCGCCTTTCATAGTTGATTTATTAGTTCACCCTTTTTGCTGCATTACCTGTCCAAGTTTTCTGTGCTTCTTCTCATGTAATAGTAGGAAGAACAGAATAGTAATGCTCTGCTTAAAATATTTAGTTTCTGCTAAAATTGGATTTAGTGAGCTATATTTGGCTTAAAAAGCAAATAACCCGGCCAGGAGTTCAAGTATAGTTGCTCACTTTTTTGACAGAAGTTTTATCTTTAATTTTTTCAGATCAAGTGCGGGGATCTCTTTGAAAGTAGTGTTGTGGATGAATTCAATGAATGTGCAGTTTCGCGGAAGAAGTGTGTACCTCGGAAATCTGATGTTGTAGAATTTCCTGTCCCTGATCCTGCAGTTCCTGGTAAGAGCTTCAACATAGCAGATTTCAGTCGGAAGTGGTTCATTTGTAGTGGCTTAAATCCCACCTTTGACGCTTTTGATTGCCAATTGCATGAATTTCATATGGAATCAAACAAGCTTGTGGGCAATCTGTTGTGGAGGATACGCACTCCAAATAGTGCATTCTTCACCCGAACAGCCGTACAGAGATTTGTACAGGACCCTGAACAGCCCGGGATATTATACAATCACGATAATGAATATCTTCATTATCAAGATGACTGGTAATTCCTCGCGGCAAGTTCTTCAACATTTCCTAAGTTCCAGTTTCTCATGCAAACTTATTTCCTTCTGATGACTATAATATTTTCCTCGACTTCATATGTACAGAGCGACCTCCAAATCATCTTCTATTATTCAAATTCTCGAACAAAAGAAGGCCGATCATGTATGTGATGTGTGGGGAATTACGTGACTCAGCTTTTATCCTGGAGGAATAGAAGTATGAGTTTCTGTGGTTTAATGCTTGGAAATTTGACAGACTTTTAATTATGCATGAATGCATGAAACAAATTAGCTGCTGAATGTTTTCGCTTAGTATTCAATTTGTTGTCTCAAAGTTAGAACTGACAAATTATTGGGTCAAGAAATACTGGAAAGCTCATACTGAAGATTAGATAATCAATAACATGGAGGAAAACTTCCTGCGATAGCAGTCAGGGATGTGGCCAAAATGATATCGTTCATGATCAAGTGTATTATTTATCTGATATAATGTCTTCTTGAAAATTATTACTTTGGTTTGGTTAATTGACGAATGTCATTTTCAGTAATTTCTTCTTCGCTACAAACTTGGCAGGTATATATTGTCATCCAAGACAGAAAACAAGCCAGATGATCACATATTCGTATACTATCGGGGCAGGAATGATGCATGATATGGGTACGGAGGAGCTGTTTTATACACAAGAAGTGCGGTTTTGCCAGATAATATCGTACCAGAACTCGAAAGAGCTGCGAAGAGCGTAGGAAGAGACTCTAAAGACTTCATCCGAACCGATAGTACTTGCGGGCCTGAGCCGCCTCTTGTGGAGAGAATAGAGAAGACGATGGAGGAAGGCGAGAAGACTATCGTGAGGGAGGTCAAGCAGATTGAAGATGAGGTACAAAAAGTGGGAAAGACCGAGATGTCTTTGTTAAAGAGGTTGGCTGAAGGGTTTAAAGAGCTTAGACAAGATGAGGAAAACTTCTAGAGAGGCCTCAGTCGAGGAAATGGAGTTGTTGAATGAGCTGAAAATCAGTCGAGGAAATGGAGTTGTTGAATGAGCTGAAAATGGAAGCGACTGAAGTTGAGAAGTCCTTTGGATGAGCATTGCCAATCCGGAAGCTAAGGTAGGTCTAGGAAATGTGACAGGAGATCATTGTCACTCTGATTCCATTTGTGATGTACAGCTGTTCAAATGAAGTCTTCGGCGATTTCAACTTCATTTCCTCTTTTCTCTGTTTATTCTTACATACGAGACTTGTGCTCCAATAGGCTGAACATGGACTAGGTTCGACTGGTCACGTTGGTGAGCTGTCATTTTCATTTCTGTAGATGATTCATTTAAATCCTTGTGAGAGGTGGTTTGAGTTGATATATGAAATCTACGTTATATTGTCATCTCCCTTCCCTCTTTTGCCATAGTTGGCCTTGTCAGTTCTAAGGAACTGAAGTCACTAGAGAAAATAATCCCTTCTGATTGATAATGTTCTTTATTACAGTGTTTACAATATTGAGATAATAAATCTAAATAAAACATATTTGCATAAGATTGATCTTGGTGTTTGTGAGCATTTGTGCCCACAATGTTCTGCCCCATGAAGTCGCACACTTACATTACAGGTGACACATTTTACATCTCCCACCGCTCTCCTGTGTCTTCTGTCTCTGAAAGATTTTGTCAAGCCTCGACCTGCTCCAGTTTCATACCCATGAGCATGTCCAGGGTTCACTAGCTCCACAATTTGCAAGGCATAGTAACATGAAGTACACGCCATTGCAATCTCCTCGAAACAGGGAATGGAGGAGATCTGTTATTTGACTAGGATGGCCTAATAGTTTCACTCTATATAAGTGTGATTTGAAAGGGACTTTGTTGAGTTTCAAGAAGATGATGCACAAGTACATGTGAGACAGAACTTTAGACCATATTACTGCCACGGGGGTAATCTCCCATCGGTGTTTCTGGCACGTCATAGACATCTGCGTTCACCTGTTCCTCCACCAGCGGGTGAAGACTCCCCAACGGGTTATACTGTTGAACCACCAGAACTGATGAGGTGGTCGAGAAGCCCGACGAGGCCAAGTAGCTCCCGACGTGGCCCAATTCCGGACAATCACTCGCCCGGTCCACCAATACCTGCACATTGGAAGGCATCCTTCCCACTATAAATAGATTGCACTTGCTCATTGATTTTAATGCAGCAACAATGTCTTCCGTAGTTGCCACAGCCTTCTCCTCATAGGCAATAGACTCATTTTTGCTGGCAGTCAACTCTGACAGATCATCATCGCTGGGGTTGTCATCATCTTCATTACTTTCTTGTGCTGCAACTGCAGTTCCTGGAGGGAAAACAAACTTCATGACACTCAGCACAATCCCAGAATGCTCTGCCATGCGAACCCCGAAGGTGAGCGCCTCACGATCATCACGGCCTCCGAAAAAGGGCACAACGATCGTGTACGAGACATCGCTGGCAGAGACTTGGGTTGTGCCTCCTAGGCCACGGTCCACAAGAATCCCAACTGAGCACGGAGCATAGCGTAGGACCCTCTGGTTCACGGCTTGGAAGGAGTAGCCCAATGACTCCATCACACCATCCAACCTCTGGTGCTTGTGGAATGGGAGCAATATCATCGCAGACCGCTTCTGATGCGCGCTCGTGCAGATGTCCTCGTGGATAGTGCCAAGAGGGGATATAGCGGTCATGGAGCGCAGGGTGACGGAACTGAGCTGCTGGTAGGCCTTGAACGCGATCACCATCTGGTCCTGGTCGTCGCGGGCCTTGTTCCAAAACGGGAGGCCATTCCTCCGTGCCTTGTGCACCATGGAAATGGCCGAGGGTCGCTCTGAGAGCTCCATGAGGTGCATGACATAGACGCTGAGGCGGCTCCTCTTCCGAATCCCGCGGGACGACTCGATGAGGTTGATCATGGTAGGGATGTTGCAAGTGCTATGGAAGCAGACCAGCAGCCGGAGCTCGGTGTCAAGGTCCTTCCGCCGGATCGTCCGGTGCTTATACAGCACTCCTCTCCTGGCCGGTTTATACACAGCCATCACTATAGGGGTTGTGATGAAGGTGGTGAATAAGGCCATTAGAACTAAGACTGCAAATGTCTGGTCATTCAGCACCTGAGACAAAGGGCCGAAAAAGGTAACCAATTTGCTGTCATTCCAACTTGTTTCCTAAAAAGCCTTTGTTATGGCAGATTAATTTTGGCAATTACCGGATTGATCTTCTTAGCTTAGGACTAATTATAAAGCACGACAATTTGCCAATTGTAAAATTTTGTGTTTAGCGAGAAATGGATGAACATACTGTACCTTCCTGTCCTTCCCAATGTTGAGCACAATGAGCTCCACCAAACCCTTGGTGTTCATCAGGAACCCCAGAGTGACAGCTTCCTTAAATGGCACCTTGCACAACATTGACACGGACATTGTCCCCACAATTTTCCCAAAGCAAGCTGCGAAAATGACAAGCACCAACAGCCCCCAGGACTGCGCTCCTTGTATTGTCGCGACATTTGTCTTCAATCCGCTCGACACAAAGTAGAGTGGCAGGAGGAGCCCCGACACAAGGTCCTCTATCTTCTCGATCAGGACCCCGGCGAATGGCCCATCCTTCGGCACCACAATGCCCACCACAAAACCCCCGAAGAGCGCTTGTATGCCGATGGTGTCCGTCACGAAGCCCGCAGCCAGCACAAGCGACAGCGTGATGCATATGTAGAGTTCCTTCACGGGCTCACCCTCGGGTGACCTGCGTGCCATCCAGGTGAGTGCTGGATTGAGGGCGAAGATTGCAAATAACACGAATGCAACCCCACAGAGCAGGACCCACAGGGAGACCAGCGGGGAAGTGTTGCTGCCTGAGAGGGCTATGGCAAGTGCGAGCAGGATCCACGCCGCAACGTCGTTGACGGCGGCCGCCGACATGGCTATGCGGCCCAAGTCAGTGGTTAGGAGCTTGAGCTCAGCAAGTATGCGGGCCAGAACAGGAAAGGCCGTGATGGATAGGGCCACGCCCATGAAGACGAGGAACGGGCCTTGGCTCACTCCTTTGGAGATTGTGGACCGAAGGACCACCGACGTGCCGATTCCAAGGATGAAAGGGAGGCCGATACCGGCTATGGCGATTCCTAAGGCTTTCTTGCCGGTTTTCCTGATGGAACGAATGTCGAGCTCAAGGCCGACCAAGAATAAGAAGTAGAGGAGGCCTATGTTCGCAAGCGTGTCGAGGACGGTCATGCTTTGTGCCGGGAAAACTGTGTGCAGGAATTTCTCGCTTCTTCCTAATGCCGAAGGCCCAAGCAAGATTCCACCCTGGGGACATAAGAATCTCAATAACCAAGTGTTTACTGTTTCCCTAATGTGAGACTTGATGACAACATTAATAATTTCCCTAGTTCACATGAACTTTAAAAACTACCTCTTCCTCACTGAGATTAACTGCCACGTGCATTCATATTAATAGGAAAAGGCTTTGCAGAACCTCGGTTAGGTTGTGGATGATTTCTCTAGGAACTTGGTGGACCCTTTTGGAAAGAACATATTACATGGCACTCCATTTTTCAGAATTGAAATGAATCTTAAAAAACATTAGAATTTCCCCAATAAACACTTTTCTCCTCAAACGATGATATGTAAGAAACTCACAATGATCTCCGCGATGACCCTTGGTTGTCTGAGAGGCCTGAGAATCAATGCAAGCAGTCTCGTGAAGACCACGACGAGGCATATTTGAAGGATGACCAGAGGGAGCGCGAAATCCAGAGGGTTGTCGCCCTGGAACGACCCGTTTGACGTCGCCTGCATCGGCGCGGGGCAAACAGTAGCCGTCGCATTGGCCGCCATATTTTACGAACTTCCGCCCAAGATGTCTGATATCGGAAATTCAAGAATCAATGTGAACATGCGAAAGTAGAAAAACAAAAATCTCTCTCCTCAGAACACTATTAACCTCGGGCCTCCCCTATATCATCATGTCTTTCCACGAGCGTACGATGTGCAACTTCTGAAGAGAATTTGAGTTTCTTCATAAGCGAGAGAGAGAGAGATGAGACGGAGAGACCAGCATTTTTCCTTTTGAAAAGGGGATCTAGAATAAAGCGGATATTTATAAGAGAATAATGCTGAGATAAATAACTATCAACACATGTCACACCCCAAAACCTACGCAGCCTCAAACGACAACAAGCAATCGAACTCCCAAAAGTCTCCATGACAACGCTCTCGCTCTAAAGGCTACTAACCAAGAAACCTGAAAAGATTAGGGAAAGAAAGGGGTAAGCAACCACAACTCAGTAAGTCGTACATATCTTCCAAGCATATCAATACCCAAGGGCATAACTCATTTATACCAATCATAATATAACAAATTTACAAGAGTAAAATGAGTTATATACCACTTCCATATAACTATATTCATAGCATGATTATCCATTCATCCATAATATCAAAAGCATAATTACTAGTCCAATTCAATAATCAAACTCGTCAAATCACGTGCCAATGGTCCATTCCTTGTGCAATATTCAACTCAAGACTCTAGAGGTGGCTCCCACGAATTTACATTATCGTATAACACTTAGTTTTTTACTATACATATTAATAATACAAAGCCCTAAAGGTGGCTCCCACGTGACCCAAGTCGCCGTGTAGCACTTAGTCCTTGACAACAAAGCTCTAGAGGTGGCTCCCACGAATTAACATTATCGTGTAGCATTTAGCCCTTCACCAACACGTATCAATGATACAAGGCCCTAGAGGTGGCTCCCACGAAGTTATGTTATCGCGTAGCACTTAGCCCTTTACCAGTCCATATCACAATCGGTTTCACAAACCGAATCAAATCACCTTTCATAAACCATACTCAAATTCAATGTAATTCTTTCACATAAAGGTCTCGCAAACGCAAAATAATCATACCTCCCAACTCCATTCATCAGACATACTATAATATCACAAGACATTTCTCAAGCCATTTTAGAATTCATTTCATAAACTATTAATATTTCAATAGGAACGTCTTTCATAAAACGTTTCCCAAATCATTCACAAATAGCCAAAAAGTAGTAAATGCCCGATCCGAAATTATGCATCGAATATTCTACGAACATCACATTTGCCTTTTAGCCAAATCACACTTTGCATATAATATGCCTCATACTGCTCATTTTCAAAATATGAGTTTACAAACTCCAAAAAAAGATAGCATCACTCACCTGGGAATGCCCCATAACCAAACAACGTGGCTAAATTCGTCGACGATCTCATAATCCTATCAATTAAATGAGAATCGACGTCAACACCAAGTAAAACACCATTTCACTAACGAATCGACTAAACCAAGCTTAGACGCTAACAAAAACGACTCAAACGCGCTCACAAATCGCTCGTCCAAGGCGATCATTCAAAGCCGTTCGCAACATGAAGCTTAAACGCAAAACTTGGTCGTGCCATAAATCTCTCACCCAAACCCTGTTCCAAGCGATCTTACGGTCAAAATGAAGATCTTTCAAAGCACTAGAAGACCCACAAATTGGCCGTTCCAAAATCGAGCCGAAAACCGACGAAAATCGGCCTAAAAACTGCTGGTCGCGCACTGTTCACCACACTGGCTCAACTTCAAAAAATTCATTTTGGGCAAACGGTAAGTCTAAATCAAGATTCGTAAAATCTCACGGTTCCACGACACCCTAAACTATCAATTTTATATATATACGCAGCTCAATGATTCAAAAATCGGATTTTACGGCTCGAATTTCTCAAAATTCTGAATTTAAATCATAAATTTGAAAACTTCTCCGATTAGATGAACGAGGGGCACTAGGGTTTACTGGGCGTTGCGATACGTAGTAAATCTAGCTCGATGAGTCGTCCGTGACAAGAACACCCTCTCCTTTCTCTTTCCTTTTCCTCTTCTTCTTTCCTCTTTCTTTTCTGCTTTTCTCCTCTATTTTTCTGTCATGCGTGTCCTCGGTCCTTTAAAAGAGCAGGAGTGCCCCTTTTTCTTTTCTCTTTTATTTCTCTTCCTTTGACTTTTCAACCCTTTTTTATTTTTTTTGTCTCTGTTTTTTTTGTCCAAATATTACAACACATGAACACCAACTGTTTAGATTGAGAGAGAGAGACCTGTCTCCGGAATACTATTGAGAACTCTCAGAAAGGGGAAATTTCCGAAAATGGATCCGAAGTGGCTAAATCATTTTAAATAAGGGCTTAAAGTAGCCAAATCGTCTCAAAAAAGGACCTTTGGCCAGATGGTGACTATTTCGTTGCCGAAGAATGAGTATTTTAGTCAAAAACGTTATAAATATATATTTTACTTTCTTTTTCTTTTCCTTTTTCTTTTTCCTTTTTTCTTCTTCCCTCCCAGCCTTCATTGTGCCTAGCCAGCAACCTCCGTCGGCCTGAAGCGAGACCGCCTTCGTCAGCGTCGAGTGAGGGTCGCCCTCGCCTGGGCTAGCGAGGGTTGCCCTCGTCGACATCAGGCTAGGGTTGCCTTGCCTAGGCCAAGCAGGCAAGGGCAACCCTTACTCTCGCCCAACGCCGGCGAGGGCGACCCTCGCCAAATCCGGTGAGGGCAACTCTCGCTTTGGCCTGGCCACGCCAGCCTAGGCGAGGGCGGCTCTCGCCGACATCGGGGGAGGACGGCTCTCGTCAGTGTCGGGCGAGGGTTGCCTCGCCTGGGCTAGCCTCGCCCATCGCCGGCAAGGGTGGCGACTTCCACCTGAGGCTGGTAGCCTCCGCTGGCCCCGGTAATGGCTGGCAGAGGGAAGAGAGGAAAAAAAATAAAGAAAAGGAAAAAAAATTCAAAAAGTAAAAGACAAAAATACCCTTTGGCCGAGAGGTCAAGTCCTTATTTGAGACTGATATGGCAACTTCAGACCCTTATTTGAGATTGATATAGCCACTTCAGGCTCTTAATTGAAACAATATTCACTTCAAGCCCTTATTTAAGAAAATGAGGACACTTCAGGTCCTTATTTGAGAAAATGACTCCACTTCGGATTCCTTTTTGGAATTTTCCCCTCGGAAAGTGAAGGGTGTGATGGTGGTGTGGCTAACGGGCCTCTATTTTACAGTGTGCGTTCGTTAATTTATGAGAGCTTGTTTATAGCTGCGTATATGCGCCATGTATATCAAAAGGTATGCAATGAATGAGACACCTATAGATACCTACGGCTTTTATACTAAGGGTGCACTTCATTTCGTGCTATAACAATTAGGATAATGTGCATTATTGCCTTCATTGCTGCCCGGAAACGGCAATTTTGCATTCACCCGATTAATTTTTAGACCCTCCGATGAGTGATGGAAGAGAAATGTCAAACTTCTTTTTCCCACCCTTTTTTTCGCACCCAATAATTGATTAAACTACATGGAAACAACTCGGTTTCTTACATGCATATGATGGTGCCTTACACGGATCGTTTTCTTATTTTCGATTTCAACTCCCCTAATTATTCTCCAAAGGTCGTATAATCTGAGGTTGGTGTTTATATGCGCCTTCCCAAGTTGAAGCCGTGCGAATGCGGGTCATGGTCAGGAGAGAGTTGATATCTGTTTTAGGGTTTTGCATCCGAGATTTGCATCTTGATCGGGAGACAAATTGCTATTGATATCTGCTTTAGGGTATTGGATATTAATGATGAAATAATAGATTATTTATCTGTATTATGCTGTTATGACATGCCCCCTTTTGACTTTTTCCTTCTTTGCTTGTGGAAGTGAAAAAGTGCTAGGCTGACGTCAACCCTTTCGAAACAAGGGAATGAGTCGTTTTTGTGTTTGATCATTAATCGATATTTCGGTGGAATTGTCTAAAGAAGGTTATCATGTGTAATCGAGCCGAGTTGATGGACCATACAAAATTACAGATAATTAAATCATGTGGGTACTTACTGGACGTTTCCAGATGAACGAGGGGTGCGAGTACTTATCGAATGTTACGATACGAAGTAAATTCGGCTCGGCGAGGCGTCCATGACATCAACACGCAAAGCCCTCTCTCTCGTCTTTCTTCTTCTTCTACTTTCCCTTTTCCCTTTTTCTCTGCGTTGGTCTCGTCGGCCTCTCCTTTCCCTTTTAACGGCTAAACGCCCACGTTTTTCTCTTTTCTTTTTGTTTATAAAAGGTGGGTCTCGCCACTTTTTTGACTGGGTCAATAAAAAGGCTAAATATTACAATTTGCATCTTAATTGGCAGACAAATTGCTATTGATATATGTTTTAGGGTCTTGGATATTAATGATAAAATAAGGGTTTCGTGTGAATAATTGCTTTGTCCCGCGTAAAGGGTCAAAGAACACCTTATTTATCTGCATTATGCTGTTAATGACATGCCCCTTTTTGACTTTCTCCTTCTTTGCTTGGGGAACGGGTTTTTGACTTTCTCCTTCTTAGCTTTTGACTTTCTCCTTCTTAGCTTGTGGAACGGGAAAAGTACTAGGCTGATGTCAACCCTTTCGAAACAAGGGAATGAGTCGTTTTGCGTTAATCATTAATCGATATTTCGGTGGAATTATCTAAGGGAGGTTATCACGTGTAATCGAGCCGACTTGATGGACCGTTCAAAATCATAGATAATTAAATTATGAGATTCATTGCGATCAAAGAGATGGAGAGAGAGAGAGAGGGGATAAGATTAGCAGATTCAACCGAAAATTTCTAACCAAGAGAAGATTCAAATTAAAAAAAATCAAGAAAAATAGACTACTCAAATGGATATCAATCATATACATAATAGGAATAGTAGTCAACGAAGTATTTCCAATATAATTATATCATAATAATTGACAAATGTGATCTATGTCAGTTCATGGCTGCCTATACCCACAATGAGTTGACCAG